AAATGAGATGAGTGTAGTTTGTACGTGTGAATGAAATAAGATGAGTGTAGTGCTAATATTAAATGAACTGTGTGCAGAGTCATGTACTGAGAACTTAATAAAAATGTGTAAAGCAGACATAAGATCATTTTAAGCACACTTACATTATCCATTAAGCACGGCATCTTCTTATTTGGGTCTTCGTCTAACAGAGAAGATGGGCAAACACTTCTCAAGTCCACAATGTATAGTGTTGCATATGCTGAAAATCTGTGAATCATTTGCCTCTCTCTCCTCCAGGCAATGTAAAGTTGTTTCAGCTTGTCCTGTTCATTACATGTAAATGAAGCAGAAAATATTACAGGTGTAGTTTTTTGGGTTACAGTAAACTACTGTAAACTGAACACATACAGAAGCCAGTCTGTACCTTAACAATGACACAGAAACTCCCCAAGTCTTCCTCAACTACAGCTGGTTCAGCTTGTAGCTCAGTTAATGATTTTGCAGATGTTCTTTGGTACATCTCTGAAATTATATGACACATTATTGAGATGAAAATGTATGTCGATAACATTTATTGCACTACATGTAGTACCTTTGTCTGTTTCCTCATCTATAACATTTACAGGTGTTTATGTCGCCCTAGGCACACATCTGCAAGATCGTATTGTTGATCCTCTGGTTGTGCAGATGGAAATACAGCCACAAGGCAAACATGTAGTGAATGTCCTTCACCTGGCAGAGGAAGTACCTGCTGGTTGACAACTCTTTGTTCATTTGCTCTGCTGAAGCTGAATTAATAGAGGCAAGATCTGGCAATACACTGCAAAAACTCCTCATCTAGTCAAGACTTACAATCTTATTTCTAGCCATAAAATCTTATTGATCTTATTTTAAGAATAAGATATACATCTTTTCATGCATTGAATCTTTTTCAATACTAATTCTTATACTAGCTAATATTATCAACCAACACAATAATCAATATCACAATTTACACTTACTTGTGTGGACATTGAGGTCCTTAGGGCCATAAAAGGGCGGGCTGTACAAAGGCCTCCTCAAGGCTTTTTCAAAAGTGTGGGTACATATGGGCCTGCCAAAGCCAGCACCCACTTTTCACCACACGCACTCGCTCATGTATTTGTACTCCTGTTTTGTCACTGCTAATATGGCATGGCCAAAGGCCCTGCTCGTTTTGTGGTTTTTCACCTGCACAGTAAAATAATTATGAATAAGTATACGACTATATATTTAAACAAACAAATGTGAAAAAAAAGTTAATGACTACTAAAACACTTACAAAAATGGCGTGGCCATGCTGTCCCTCTTTAGAGTCGATGACTTCTTCTGTGGTGAGGTTGAGGATGACACCTTGCCTGTGGCCAGAGGTGCCAACCAATAACCCCCCAAGAAGACCAAAGAAGTGGTCCAGACCATTGCTGTCGCTATTTTCCTTGAGGTTTTCTAAAACATAATAAAAAGAAATCAGCCCACACAATGAAAACCATTAACTATGAAATCAAACTCTTGCTCCACTTATGCATTGTGTTGTCTGGAATCTTCAGAAAGCTTTGTAACTTACGCAGGGCTTTGGGCAGTTCATTACTGGCACATGAAACAAATCGTGCATGCAGGCTGGGATCCAAAAGGTTCTCTGGTAATAAAAAAAAATGGCAGTTGTATTAGTGGGTTAGATTAAGCACACCAAATCACACATCAGGTCTTCAGTGTTAAATGAACACAAACACATCAAGAAAGACGAGAACGAGCAGCAGTAAAAGTGTGCATATGTTCATACTTCTTCTTTATACATATTTGTCTATTATCCCTAAAGTCCTCGATAAAGGTAATAAATGCCTCATACAAGTTATCTTTAATCCCACTAACTTCTGACCCTGTTTACAGTGCAGTACAAAAAGTGTTTTCTGTTTTCTTCTGAAAGTAAATATCTGTAATTGTACTTATCTTTCAAAAAAGTAGTAATGGTGCATCCCTAGTAGTGACTGTCACTCACTGTCACACACACACATCCGCAATAAGCATTTTCCTGTTGATCACTATAAAGCTGCCTGAGAAATGCAAAAAAAAATGCTATTTTCAGATTGATGTTCAAAAACAGACTACTTCTTTAATTGGTGTAATTTGATGAACCAGTGACCAGCTCGGTTAACACTAACAAGTGTTAGAAATTAACACTAACAAGCGTCTCAACATGAAGGCCAACAGAACAACTGGACATGATTTTTAGCTTTTAAAACAGAAGCATTCGTGAAGCAGACCTCCTTTTCATAGCAACAACTGTATTGTAGACAAAGTTCTTAACATCCTTCCAGGATCGTTCCTTCAGGACCTTTTCTTCTTCTAGGCACTTCATGCAGTCTGCTTTTCCAGAAACTCTGCGCTCTGCCACAAACCTTGCTAGATGTTCGTTTACTGCCCTTCTGTCTATGTAACATCTAATGATGTGTAATCTGAATGGCTTTCCATTATGAGAACGAGTTCAGTCATGTGTTTGTTAAATCAAGTGTATTTGGCGAATAGCCACAAGGTGGCGCAGTAATTCACCTTGTTTTTTGCCGTGTCAGTGCCAAACAATGGATTATGTAGAAAATTATGCATAACATATACTTGTTGGACAACTCATAACTGAGGCCATACACTGTCTTTAATACAGGACATTTTGCATTGTTGAACTGTTAACATCATGTGACTGTTTATGCTATGTGCTATACTATTGAATAAATGTGTATTTGGGTAAGACCAGAGCATGAATATTCAACGGCTCTGGGTAAGACATATTTGTCAACTGATTATTTTCCCTTATTTGTCATTTAAAGGGTAACAGTGTAACAGTCATTTAAAGTGTAACTATTAACATTTAAAATTAATTTGTAAAAAAATATTTCGCTTCTATGGACAAAATGAAAAGAAATAGAACGGTAAACAGAAAATAATTGCACAGTGGCTTATTTGATTTAATCCATAATTATTTAGCCGGGAAAAGGAATGAATGCGCACACTCACGATGTTCTTTATTTGTTTATTTAGGCGGGAAATGAAACGAAACCAACAAAGTAGTAAGTCGAGAGCATGAGCAATTGCGCTTTCTTCGCTTCGATTTCCTTTTCAGAATCAATTTGAAAATGTAATTGTGGTTTTGTAAAAGCTCTCTGAAACATTTTCTGTTTTAAAATTTTGGATTTACCTGAAGGTACACTTGAAACAATCAAGGATATG